CAGAGCCTGGAGCAGCGCCGGGTCACGTGACCTGCGAAACGGTGACGTCAACGAGTCTCGTGGTCACGTGGTCTCCTCCTCCCCCAAGGCAGACCAATGGCATTATCACTAGCTATCGAGTCTCCTATTCTCAGCTCTCTTCTCACGGTGAGTGGATGCAAAAAAAACACGCAAAAAAAAAACATGTTAATTGAAAAAAATTATCTCGAAAATTTGTATGTTGAAGAGGGTAGAGTTTCTTGATATCAGCTGCGTGATTAGTCTACATTGATTTGTTTCTGTTTGTTTATGTTTAGCAGGGGAAAGGGGTTGTATATGTTGATAGATAGATAGATAGATCGTTAGATAGATAGATAAATAGAAAAAAAATATATGTAGATAGACTTATAGATGGATAGATAAATAGATATGTAGATAGGCTGATAGATAGATCGATAAATAGATATATAGATATATGGATGGATGGATGGATAGATAGATAGATATATACGTACGTACATACATACATACATACATACATACATACATACATACATACATACATACATACATACATACATACATACATTTATACATATATGCATACATATATAAATAAATAAACTGACAAATAGAAATTTAGATATATATAACTAGAAATTAACAGATAAAGAAACAAACAGACAGACAGATAGATAGTGCAACTAGTGATAAGGGCCACAGCCGTTCAACAAGATGAATTATCGGTAATATGATTATGTATATATATATACATATATATATATATATATATATATATATATATATATATATATATATATATATATATATATATATATATATATATATATATATATTTATATATATACATATATGTATTATATACGTGTCACATAGCCACTTGAAATTCATCCATATTCCAAAACCAAGATAATATTCTCCGGGAAACACACTCCTTTGGCAATGCGATATTTTGCATGCATCGCTTTCGCAACTGCATGTCATTTATTCATGATAAGTTACGTATTCATGAAACTGATTTTTGCCCGGCAGGATGATAGGCAGGGCTATTTTACGAGCCTTTATATCTCAAAAAATAAAGTCTCCACATCCTTCAATATTTGGAAATTACAAAGCAGTTTCAGGGAGAAAAATGCATATGTATCCTGTTTATTCTCGTTTACTTCGAGGGATATGTCACGTGTCTATTTCTGTGTCTGGCAATACGAGCCTGTAATATTGAGAATTCCAATACCATTTAAATCCGGTTCCTAAATTCACCGCAGGAATGTCAGCTGGGTTTAGGCAAATATCCGTTTCACAGAATAAATAATACAGTCCGGGATAATCAGAGCTGTGGTATTTTGCTCTATTGTTCTGTCAAATCCCTTTTTTACGCCGTCGAATAAGACCGCATGTTCCGGCTCCTGCAGAGGACGGGCGGAGCGGCAGCGTGGTCTCGGAGGGCCTGAGGGCGACGCTGGCGGGGCTTCGGCCCTGGACCAACTACAGCGTGAGCGTCGCCGCCTCCACCAGGGCCGGGGAGGGGGTGGCCTCCCTGCCGCTCGTCTGCACCACCGACCAGGAGGGTAAGTTAGAGCTCTCACACACACGCGCGTTCACTCACAAACACACACATGTATTGCACGTACCATATTCCTCATCCAAACGATTAAAGCCTCGGTCTTCACCCTGTGTCGCACAGTTCCCGAGGCTCCCGCCCGCGTGAAGGCCGTCGTATCCGGCCCTCGAGCTGCGGTGGTGTCGTGGGCGCCGCCCGCAAGTCCCCGCGGCCGCATCACCAGGTACACTGTGCACTGGGCTTCCGCGGGCAGTCGCAGCGCCCCGCACACCCGCCGCGTCAGCCCGCACTTCACTCACCTCCCTTTACACGACCTCTCGCACACGGCACACGAGGTAATTAAGTGTCTGTCTTCACCCACCTTGCATGGCGTCAATCTGTCGATTTCCCTTTTGCAGCGCCGAGGAGGACTATTGGAAACAGCTCTTCCTTCGCGAATATCAGATAAATCGCATTTATTCCCTTTAATCATGAAATATGGATTCCGCATCGGACGCAAAATCGACATCGCCTCTTTTGGAAAAATATATCCTTTTGTCTTACTTACGGAGGGATGAGTTTGAGCGTTTATTCTAATATTTCCCCAGGTGTGGGTCACGGCTTCCACGAGGATAGGCGAAGGACCTCGAAGCAGCGTTGCAATGGTAACTCCTTCTCACACAGGTACGTCTTTGGCACGGCTGCTGTTGTAGTTAGAAAGAATGAAGAGAGAAAAAAAAAAAAAAAAACATAATCATAAGCATTCTTGAGAAAGATTTTTACTCAGCAATGCGTGTTCTGCTTCCCACAGTGGGCGCAGGGATATGGGCCGTTGGCGGGAACCTGACGGCGGCGTGGAAGGAGGACGTGAGTTTGCCTTGTGGTGCTGTCGGGGTGCCGGAGCCAGTTCTGACGTGGAGTCACGAGAGATTAGAAATTCCCGACACACATCCCAGGTAAGAAAAAAGCATTACCCATTTACCCTTAATAAACGTTATATCGTTAGTTGTGACTTTTCCTTTCCACAAAAAAAACGAGAAAACTACAATAGAAAAAAATAAACATAGAAACATCAAATAAACTTAGATCTTAATAATATCCAATGACAGTGACTAATTATATAAAAAAAACACACATCCATAGGTTCACTGTACAACCCGACGGCACGCTGACACTAACGGACATACAGCGCAGTGACAGCGGCCGCTACACGTGCACGGCTTCGAACCACCACGGCGAAGACTCCGTTACCTACAACCTCACTGTTCTCGGTAAGATAATATACTTGTGCTTTTTGTTGTGACGGTTAGTTAGGTCTTTTCGTGTGTACATTTTCCTGTTGCTTAGATCTGTTTTTTTTTTTGTTTGTTTGTTTGTTAAGGCAGTAGATTTAGTTAAGTTTTAGTTATATCTTTTACTCTTGCTTTGTTTCTCGTACTAGGTATTTTTGTCTCCTTCTGTCTGCGTTTTATTTTTCCTTTTAGTTGTTTTCCCCCATTTTTTTCTTTTATTTTACGTTTTCTTGTTTCTTTTGATTATTCCATCTGCAGCAGTTTCATCTTATCGATTTTTTTATTATGATAAACCTATTTTATGCCAATACTTCTTTTTTATTCGTCTTCGTCATATATTCTTTTATCATATCTTCTTTTTTGTCTCTTTGTTTTTTTCTACAACATCGTTTTTATCCGCCACCAATAATAAAAAGAAATCCTAAAGCACATGGAATATTCACATATTGAGTAACTTTTCTTTTCCTCTCTCTTCTCTCCCTCCTTTTTTTTTTTTTTTTTTTTTTTTTTTTTTGATAAACCCACAAGGAAACAATTGCAAAATCTCCATGGAAATACTACACCGTTTTTTTTTCTCTCTCTCTCTCTCTCGAGCCAATTTCAGGAGAGTGAAGAAACAGTTGTTGTGACAGATGAAAATATCCAAGTTGAATATACATTGTAGTGCCTTTGTTGTGGTTCGAGACGAGTTGCTTTTTAACTGTTGGAAATATGGTAATAGGATATGTGTTGCTTAATATGATACAATAAGGAAAGTACTATTATGTGAAAATACAATAGAACAAAGGGTATTATAGTGTTAGTCGTGATTTTGCAACAATTGTGATCGTATTAACGTGTATAAGAGCATATGCAGTTAGAGGGTTATGTTTATGATAAAGGGGATTCACCGTGTGATATACCAGGAAACAGTGACGACAGTGCTGTGTGTGTCCAGTGATCCTTTTATGCATAGAGTGATGTTAGTGTAACGTGTTTATTCAGCAACAGTGTTGATTTTTTTCTGATGTTGATAAATAACATTTACGGATACAAGAGAGATTTATTTTGTGTAATGAGAAGATAAGAAATATGCTAATGAGTACTACAGTAAAAGTGCTCCGTTCTATATATGACGAAAAAACAGTGCAGGATGAAATGGCTTTGTGATTGTGTCGTAATGTTGAAAATAACGCATCCGTCAGAGCAGAAACAGATCGTTATCTTTGCAGTAAAGATAAAAGATTTAGAGGCATTTTGCATGAAAACAAGAAAGATATCATGTGAGCAATACAGCTAAAAGAAAATAGCGATTTAATGCGTCATCTAGAGCTTACGACTCTAACCACAAATACGGGAAAATTAAACCCCCTGGCGTTTCTCTCTCTCTCTCTCTCTCTCTCTCTCTCTCTCTCTCTCTCTCTCTCTCTCTCTCTCTCTCTCTCTCTCTCTCTCTCTCTCTCTCTCTCTCTCTATCATACTCAAATCCAGAATACGTGTCCACCCACACAGAAACAAGTCCTAAGTAATAATCACTCTTACACACCCATAAAGGAAAACAAAACACATCCTACTTAATCACCCTGATAATCTCCAATAACAAACACCTTTCTCTCTGTTCGTCTTCCCAGTACCTCCTTCAGCGCCATCTCTCCACGTGACGGAAACTACGGCCTCGTCCATAAGAGTTCAGTGGAGTGTAGAGGACACGGGTGGGGCGCCGCTTCAAGGAGCTACGCTACACTACAGGTACCGTTGAGGATTAAAAAGTAGATTAAGGGATGGGTGCAGATGGGTGGGTAGATAGATTGAATAGGTACGTAACGTAGGTTTTTGATACATAAGGGTGAATGCAGATTAGTTGATGGGCTGACTGGATAGGTATTCAGGTAGATATACCGATAAAAAAGGATATAGATAGATATAGATTTATATGAACATTTAGGTTGATAGATATGTATGGATATTTATGAGTGTGCAGATAAAGTTATAACTGTGTCTCTGTCTCTCTCTCTCTCTCTCTCTCTCTCTCTCTCTCTCTCTCTCTCTCTCTCTCTCTCTCTCTCTCTCTCTCTCTCTCTCTCTCTCTCTCTCTCTCTCTCTCTCTCTCTCTCTCTCTCTCTCTCCCCGCCCTCAGGTCAGCCGGCGGGGAGTGGATGACAGGAGAGGTCGAAGGATCCCACCGCGCT